ACTATATACAGTGTGTGTGTGTGTGTGTGTGTGTGTATGTATATATATATATATATATCAAAAGTATTATGTTTGCGTATCCATTTTTTTGTGATCCCCGTCACTGGAGGTGTCTCCTGGCCTTATATATTTTGTACTATAGGGTGTCTTTTTTTCTCATCTCAGAAAGTTAGAATTTATGATCCTGGGGTGTCTCCTCCTCGGCAGAACTTTTTTTTCTAAGAGTTTCAAATGGAGTATAGGTTAGAATAGTTAGTAACTTAAATTATCTTAGTTCTTGCAGGCTCAAATCTCATGGTAAATTAGGGGAACCCTTTAGGAAAGGCATAGAAAACAAAGAGAAACATACATTTATTATTAACCCATTTATATATAAGCTTCACGATATCTTTATACTGTCCTAAGTCATATTAAAATAAACCATATTTCTATGTGTTGATCAAATAGGTTTGTAGTATGCCACCATTCAAATAAAAACATACATGAAAAAGGTCTTTCTCTGACTGAAGGCCCACATAGCTCAGATTATGCTTAAAATATTAAAGTTACAATTATGATAAATGTATAGAATATTCAGCATTTATATCAGCTGGGATCCCTGCAAACACAATTCACATAAAATATATGTATCAAATATTCGATAATTAATCTCTGGAGAGAAGAAAAATCTACTTTGAAGTCTACTGACCTCAAAAAGAGGGAATGCAAAAGATTTAACAGATCAGTCACAATGCTGTGTAAAGTAAAATTTGAACAGCGCTGTGTAAGGTAGGGATATGCAGAATTTCAAATGTGGCATCTACCAAATGTTTAAAGCTCGATTCACATTTGTGGTTCCCCGCTTAAAAATAGCAGTTAGAGTTTTTGACATGATCTGTGCATGTGATATATGTTCAATACTCTATACAGGGTGGACAGTTATCAACTAAATAGACAACCTTATGCAATGTAGAATATCATGTGAATTGACGCACGTTACCGTGTGCACCGAAACGCAACTGTCACCCTGCTTGATTTTGTACCTATTTTATATCATAGAGAATGTAACAGGAGGAGCTGGAACACACAAAGGTGGACATCCAAAACTCTCTCGGGGACAGAAACAAATTTAGGAATCATGGCATGGAGAGCTCACTGTTGGAGTGTCCAAGGCATATAAGAAGCCAGAGGCTGTCTCAGTCAGCTAGGCTCTACCTGTAACTAAAATATTATGTTTGGGTGGGCTGACCCTTTAAACATGTCTGTAACTCCAAGGGAGCCTTATCTAGTATAGGTGTATCATAAAGACCACTGTTTCTCAGCTGTTCCATATTATCTACTGAGCCACTGGTCACTCTACTAAACACAGTATTTGACAACAAATAAAGCCACACGGTATAAAATCAGATATCTGCAAGTTAAATGTGTTAATTTGACTGTTTTGTACATTTCCAGGGTATCAGCAGCCTTTTCAGTTCCTTGAAAGTGGTGAGGCTTTTACGGCTGGGACGTGTGGCGCGAAAACTGGATCACTACATCGAGTATGGAGCTGCAGTCTTGGTCCTTCTGGTCTGTGTGTTCGGCTTGGCTGCCCATTGGTTGGCTTGTATCTGGTACAGCATTGGCGATTATGAAGTCATCAACGAGGACACAAACACCATTAGGAATGAGAGCTGGCTGTCTCAATTGGGAATGACCATTGGATCCCCCTACAGGTTTAATGTTACAGGTTCTGGGAAGTGGGAAGGTGGACCAAGCAAGAATTCTGTCTACATCTCCTCACTGTACTTTACAATGACCAGCCTCACTAGTGTTGGCTTTGGAAATATTGCACCGACAACTGATGGAGAGAAGATCTTTGCTGTGGCCATGATGATGATTGGATGTGAGTAAATAATAATATTGCTGCAGATGATTTTAATGGGAGTATGGGCTCTTTCAATCCATTTCTGGAATGTGGCAGCTGATGAGTAAGCATTGTCTAAGCACATGAACTGATGCTAGTTTGTAATGGAAGAAGATTTGCAATTTTTTTCTGTACATAACAGAGTTTGTTATGTAATTGTAATGTCAGTGATATCACTGTTCTCTTGTGAATGGATGGGATGAATTCTTTTGTTTCGAGTGAGGCTGTATTCTTAGTAATGCCACCTACCGTATGTCTTGTGATGGGCTACCTTGCCAGGGATGTCACTGGTCATTAGAGCATTGATTGACTACATTCTCAATTATGTCATAGGTCTCTAGTAATTGGATGGAGTGAATTTTCAGTATGCCAGATTTGCTAATTTTTCCTATTAATGATCAATATATATGCAGTTTACATGTACATCATCTGCCATGTCAAGGATGTCACTGTCTACTGAATGCATGGGGTGAATTCTTAGGGCTCATTCACACCAACAGCAGTGCCAGCACAAGAACACATGCTTTTGCCTTATCTCCTATCCTTTTAGTTCACACCAATGGAAAAAAATAGGACATGTTGCATTTTTGAGCACAGAATTCCATTGCCCTGTAACACATTGCACTACACTGGTAATAGCATACATTTAAAAAAACATGCAATACAAAACAGAGCAACTACACAATATGCACACACATGGTGTGAACGAGCCCTCAGTGATCTCATTGGTTTCTAGTGCATGAGAGGGTGCATTCCTTATAATGCCACCGGTTTATAGTGAATGTTGGCTGCGTTCTCAGTGATGTGACAGAAAATATACTTTTTCGTCCCTAATAATGGATCGAGTGAATTGTCATTGATGCTACTTTTCTATGCCAGATTTGTAGTTTTGTCCTGACTCATTCACACAGGTGATTAGGGCCAACATATGACAAGAATCAGCGTATTCCTGTGGCTGGGATCACAGGGGGTTGTGGACAGCTGCGGCTGCTCAGACTAAAAATCAATGACAGGCTCAGGAGCTGTCCACTGTTATTTGCATGTATTCGCACATCCAGCGGTTACATGCAGTTGGGGACAGATGAGTGACCCTGGATGCAAACTGTCTTTGTCCAGGGTCACTCTTCTGTTCTGAACTGCATGTAACCGCTGAATGTGCAGATGAATGCAAACAAACACAGACAGTTGTGGAGCCTGTCTGCCTGTCATTGATTTCTACAGACTGAACTGCAAGGATATGCATATTCTTTGCTGCATGTTGGTTCCTATTGTCCTTGTGAAGGAGGTGAAGTTATGAAAGAATGCACCAGCACACCAGTATCCACCATATCAATACGTTCTTTATTGAAGTCAGATATTCATGGCATCACAAAGAAACAAAGCTTTGCGTTTGCAAGGTTCCTTTATCAGGCAAATAATGTGATGAGCATTGATGTGCGTTGCATTTCATTGTGATGCCATGAATATCTGACGTCATTAATGGACGGATTGATATGGTGGACACTGGTGTGCTGATGACTCCATTCTTTGATTTATTTTGTATGCAGCACCATCCGCTTGTCACTACAGCATCTAAGATAACCACTTTGGAGATATCGGTTGGGGGTGCGATGGGATTTTCTTAAAAGTTGAGGTGACGTGATGTCACCTGTGTCTCATGAAGGGCTGCCTCCCCAGGAATGTCACTGTCATTAAAACATTGGTTGACTACTCGTCTCGGATGAGTTTCATTCTGCAAGAAAGCCCTGGTCCCTATTTTATGACCAGCTGTATTCTCAGTGATGTCACCAATGTATAGGAAATGGTGGGCTGCATCCTCAGTGATGAGATACATAGATATGCTATGTTCTCAGTAATATCATGAAGAATGGAAATGCTGTGTTCTCAGTGATGTTATTAAGGAATGGGTATGCTGTGTTCTTAGTGATGCTATTAAGAATGGATATGCTGTGTTCTCAGTAATATCATGAAGAATGGAAATGCTGTGTTCTCAGTGATGTTATTAAGAATGGATATACTGTGTTCTCAGTGATGTTATTAAGAATGGATATGCTGTGTTCTCAGTAATATCATGAAGAATGGAAATGCTGTGTTCTCAGTGATGTTATTAAGAATGGATATACTGTGTTCTCAGTGATGTTATTAAGAATGGATATACTGTGTTCTCAGTGATGTTATTAAGAATGGATATGCTGCTTTCTCAATGATTTCGTAAAGAATAGATGTGCTGCTTTCTCAAAAATGTCATAAAGATTTGAGGTCACTGGTCTGTAGGAAATAGATAGGAAGCATTCTCTATGATGTCACTGGTCTTGGATGAATATATATGCTCTACTTTCAGTAATGTCAATTGGATAATTTGTATTACAAGTTATAACATTGGTGTCCATTGCTAGTACCCTATACTGTATGTCCAAAAGAGTATTGGCAACAAAAATGATCTCTTTTGTTTCCTAATGATATTAATTGATAACATACAGATATTGTCTTGCTCATATAATGTGTACATTTTGCTACATGTGTGTGATCTAGATTAAGATTCAAGTGAATCTATCAGCCTCTGTAGACTTTTGAAGTGTCCTAAGAGAAGGTACATTCTGGTGCCTACCATTGTTAACCAGAAAAGCCTCTTGTGTGCACTCCAAATCAGTGCTTCAACATTGCAGATGGGAGAGCTAATAAGCCCATCCCCCATGGAGTCTTTTTCACCAGCTACCCCACTAGTCAACGGGAACACTGTTGTGACCAATCAGGACACATTGGGTGAAAAGTTAGTGGCACCAATACACACACTTTGAGCAACAATAATGAGCATCAAAGAGGGATGCAACTTATTTATTTGTGTAGGGATCCTCTGCAGCCTGTCACTGCAATACATCTAAATAAAATGG